AGGCAACCAAAGGAAACATGGACAAACAGGACCACATCAAGTTAAAAAGCTTTGCAGAGCAAAGGAAACAATCAGCAAAGCGAAGAGACAACCCACAGAATGGGAGAAAATTGCAAACTGTCATTCTAACAAGGGATTAATAACCTCCATCTATAAAGAACTCAAACAACTGTAGAGGAAAAAAAAAAATCTAATAATGCAATTTTTAAAATGGGTTAAAGATCTGAATAGACATTCCTCAAAAGAAGACATACAAATGACAAACATGCATATGAAAAGGTGCTCAAGATCACAGACCATCAGAGAAATGAAAAATCAAACCTATAATGAGATATCACCTCATCCCAATTAAAATGGCTTTTAACCAAAAGACAAGGAATAACAAATTGCTGGTAAGGATGTGGAGAAAGGAAAATCCTGTTATAGTGTTGGCCGGAATGTAAATTAGTATAACCACTATGGAGAACAGCTTGGAGATTCCTCAAAAAACTAAAAACAGAGGTACCATATGATCCTCTGGTACCAGCAATCCCAATGCTGGGGATTTTCCGTCTTTCCAAAAGAAGGAAAATCAGTATGTAGAAGAGATTTATACACTTCCATGTTTGCTGCAGCACTGTTCACAGCAGCCAAGATTTTGAAGCAACCTAAGTGTCCATAGAGATAAAATGTGGTACACATACACAATGGAGAACTAACTATTCAGCCATAAAAAAGAATGAGATCCTGTCATCTGTAACAACATGGATGGAACCAAGGCCCTTTTGTCAAGTGAAATAAGCCAGGTACAGATAGACAAACTTCACAGGTTCTCATTTACTTGTGGAAGCTAAAAAATAAAATAATTAAACTCATGGAGAGAGAGAGATGGATGGTTACCAGTGGCTGAGGAGGATAGTGGGGGTGGAGCGGAAGTGAGGATGGTTAATAGGCACTAAAAAATAGGAATAATGAATAAGATCTACTACTGATAGCACAACAGGGTTACAATAGTCAACATTAACTTAATTGTACATTGTAAAATAACTAAAAGAGTATAATTGGATGGCTTGTTATATAAAAAATAAATACTTGAGGGGATGGATAACCCATTTACCATGATGTGATTATTACGCATTGTATGCCTGTTTCAAAGTATCTCACGTACTCCATAAATACATACACCTACTATGTACCCAAAAAATGTTAAAAATTTTAAAAATAATAAAAATAAAATTTTATCTTCTAAAAAAAAGTAGGTAGGTAAGGTTGGAGAGGTATTCCCAGGTTTCACTTGATAACTAGGAAAAATTAAGAGTTCCATATCTGCCAAGAAATGGCAGAAACAGCTGATTCAGATGCTTCTGAATGGAAACATATTACTTACAAAGAAGCATACTTTTGTGTAATTTATTAGTAAACAGACATATAAACCTTTGGTGACCTAAAGTTCATATTTAGTTGCAAAATTGTTTATTTTTCAAAACATAACATATATTGCTTGAGAAAACAATTCCTCTAAATGGTCTTAGGAAAAGAAAACACAAGCCTTATTTTTTCGTGGAATCAAAAACTGAACCACCATTCTCTCCTTCCCGATATACAAAGAATCACTACAAAACAATAGTTACATGAGAACCTGATATGACATGAAATGAGGTTTCCAGAAATCCATTATTCCATAATGCAATCAGGGGACCTATTTCACAGTATATTTACAACACATGCAATAAACTTGGACTCTGAACTCCGCAGCAGCTGATTAAACAAGAAGCCTACTTCTTTTCAGCTGTCCTGGCATAGCTTTATTAAGTCTAACAAACATCAAGCTTCCAGAATGCCATAAATAACTGGCTTACAAGCTGTAGTAACAGTACTAAAATTTCCCCAGGTGTAAACATGTCCTACTAGCTAGAAATCCTTTAAAAGATGACTTCTAGACTGCCATTGTAGCTATCATGGACCTAAAGTTAAGGTGAGAAGGAGTAATCATTTTAACTCTTACAATACACTGTAGACAAGATTTAGTGAATCATTTAGCTTCAGAGTAAAACAGTCATCCTTACTATGGTACAATTTTGCAGATTAATTTGACAACTACTTTCACTTTTAAATCTGCACAGCACAGAAAAAGCCAAACTAAAATATAATTTCCCTATTAAATATATAGAGAAATTCATGGGTAAACTACAGTTAAACACTAATGTTTAACTGATTAGGTATCTTATTTATATGTTAACAAACTAAAACACCAAATAATAATGCCAGTATTTCATTCTTTTTTAACCAAACACTTCATATTTGAAGGAACAATAAATATTTTACTCCACTCCCAATTCAAGCCCTAGTTTTCATCTCTATATCAAAGAGGAAACCCTAATAAGCACCATCCGTATTTCTAAAACCCTGTATTTCTGAACATGCTTTTGAATACGACATAAATAATTTTTTTAAAAGCTTGACACCACATGATGTCAATGTTAGGTCAGTAAATTCAATTTGAGAATTATGCACGAAAAATACCACTCAAATTGTTAGAACAAAAAGTTTTTCTAATTTATCTTCATTCACTAGAGGATTAAATTGAAGATATGCAACGTAAATTTCCCTCCATTCAAGCAAAGTCTCAAAATACCAGATAAATACAGAAAATTCTTCCACACAACTTTGCCCAATAACTTATCAACTCAGACACACAGACATGAAAACAGAGTATCTCTGAATGGAACTGTGATAATGGTTCCTGGAGTAACTGAGAAGGTCAAATTAAAGTGTTACCAAGATAGGTTACTCGCTAGCTTATAGGATCTGTCTCCTTATCAAATTTCTAGAGCAAGAATAATTTAAAAATTTACTTGCTTAAATATCTGTGTTTCCAAATAGATTCTTGAGAACATGCACGCAGCCTTTTTCACACCTCTAGACCCTAACAGAAGTATTCAGCAAACAAATGGCTGGCATTCAGTAAGTATTTACTAAACAGAACTAAAGCCACTTGCTTCTAACAATAGCTCCTTGAAATGAATGGGTAAGTATCATAACAAAAATGGTGAAATTAATTACTGGTGTTGGCTACAGCTGCCAAAGATGGACATAACCACACCTAAAAAGTCTCCAATGCTACCATGGTGGCAGTATAACAGGAGGTTTTTCAAAAAATGCTTTTTTTTTTTTTTTTTTTTCTGAGATGGAGTTTAGCTTTTGTTGCCTAGGCTGGAGTGCAATGGCGCGATCTCGGCTCACCACAACCTCCACCGCCCAAGTTCAAGCGATTCGATTCTTCTGCCTCAGCCTCCCGAGTAGCTGGGATTACAGGCATGCACTACCACACCCGGCTAATTTTGTATTTTTGGTAGAGACGGGGTTTCTCCATGTTCAAGCTGGTCTCAAACTCCTGAGCTCAGGTGATCCACACGCCTCAGCCTCCCAAAGTGCTGGGATTACAGGCATGAGCCACCGTGCTAGGCCTAAAAGATGTGTCTTCCTTGATAACAACACTCCTAAATTTCTCAACCCCTTTGTGGCTAGGTTTGGCCATTAGACTTAAGTTCTTGACAAAAAAATTAAGTGGAAGTCTTGTGTAGGCTTTTCAAACGGCTACTTGAAGGAAGCAAACTCAGCTAAAAGCAGGACCCCACTCTCTGCCCCACTTTTTCCCCTTCCAGGCAACAACTTAGGATGTGATGGGTGGCTCTTCAGCAGCTATCTTGTATGCTGAGGTGACCTTGATTGACAATGGAAGCCAAACACTAGGATGGTAGAGCAGAAGATAAGAACTTGAGTTTCTTATACTGAGTCATAATAATACTAGCCCTGGACCACTTGCTTTCAGAATCTTTTATGTGACAGAAATAAATTTTTACCCAAGTCACCATTTTGTCCATTCTTCTACGGTTGTCAAACCTAACATTACTTGAGAGACAGTGTTTAAAAATTTAAAATGTTGACTGAATTGGCAACTAAGTCTGTGGCTTTCATGGCAACGAATGTAAATGGATCACTCTCTACTGCCCCTAAGACTTAAGATTATAGAATACAACAACTGTAATCAAATCCAATAATGTGGAAAAAAATGGTTTTGAAATGCAGAATCTTACTATAATGAAAGTATTTTACAAAGAGAGATGAAAATTCATTGGAAATGGGTGAGAGCATATAGACTACAACAGTAACAATAAGCTTAATGGTACTAAAGGCAAATTAGATTAATAAAATAGCAAAAAATTATTAAAATTTTAAAAGGCTGAAGCCACTGAATTTGAAGTCTGGAAATATTGATTTCAGTTACAGGTAATTTTAGGAAAATAATTTCATATATCAAGGCCTTAGTTCCCCATTATAGAAAAGGAATTAAATAATATCTAAGAAAATTTCAGTTCCAGAATTCTCTACATACCTTAGCATGTTAATATTAATTTAAAAGAAAACACCAAAATACATCGATATTAAGTCTAAGACAATTCTTCAAATTAAAAAGCAACTACATCTTTTCCAGATACAAAGCAATGATATCTTCCAAACACCGGTTTAAAAAGTTTTGTCACCACTGACGATATCTTATTCAGATCTTTGTGCCTGCTATTCTGGCTACCGAGAATGGACTTACCTCCAACTCTTCAACTAACTACATTGATCTCTTTTAGATATCTTTCAGATCTTAGGATATATGTTTCTTCTTGAGTGAGGCCTGTCCTGACCCCTAGAGTAGGTCCCATCTATTTTCTTTCTTAACATACTCTCCTTTTAAACTTCATAGTACTTCATCACCACTGTTCATTCATATAATTATTTGTGTTCTTTTATTAAATGTTTCTTTCCCATTATAGCATAATATCCAGAGGGAAGAGGCATTTCTGTTTGGCTTTGTTTTCACTACTTTTTTGCCCTGATACAATGCCTAACACACAGATAAGAGTTAATTCATGCTAGTATTTCTTATACAAAAGAACAAGCAAATGAATAAATAAAGCGGGCATTAAAGAATTGCAGAGTTCATGCAAGAAAATGTTTACCCAACTCACCTCATTAAACACAGGATACATGACTGCATAGAGGGGCATAGAAACCATGGATGTGGTCTCAGCTTCATTCTTCATCTCTTCCATTGTCATCCTCATTCAAAAGCCAACTACAGTTGAAAAAGCAGTGCTAAAATGCAGAGGAATCTTCATTCACTGCAATATTTCTTCTCTTTTTTGGTGATAAAAGAATTGGACACAAAACACACTGATCTGGTGAAAGGGAAGAAAGAACAGAGATTTACTATATTAAGGGGAAACAACAAATATCAATAATTTTCCTTTCCAAATTACAGAGTTCCTTCCTACCTTACAAAAAGCTATTTTTTAATATATTCTACTTGTGAAAGCAAACCTAGTTGGCAAGAAATTTATCTTTTCCTCCAAAGACTCAACAACTGCCCTTTCCTAGTGATTTAAGACACTGCTTAACTTGAACCAAGAGAGTTCTCTATGAAGCGCCATGGAATAATTATGCATGTCATGCCACCATATACAATCTAAGAGACCATATCAATAAGATACATATTTATAACATTTATACACAATATAAAATTATAATCAGGAAATGCATGATGTGTAAGTGTGTGCAGAAAAACAAATTAAAGAATCAATAAAGAAGAAAGAACTAGGGTGTTTTAACATTTGTATTAAAACCTTTTTGCTATGTGTTTATTGATTCTGTCACCTGAAAATAACACAAATATAACAAGCATCAAATATTTCAGACAAACATAAAATTGAAAAAAATTTTACCAAATGTGATCCACTTGGTAAAATACCTACTACTTAACTGTGCCAGTGATACCTTTTGGTATTTAGAAGAACTATGGAAATTGCTGTCCAAATCTGGCACGAAAACTGAGAAAGAAGAAAAACCCAGAGAGGTTGGTAGTTTGGGATTAAAATCAAGAATTCAACAATAAAAGATATTTTGCCTTGAGATGTTAAGGAAATATGTTAGTTTTTAAAGAGAATAAAACTATTTATTTCCTTTGCTATGGTTAAAAAAAAAAAAAATTTTTTTTGATTAATTTCTACTACTTGTAAAGCATTTTCACAGCATAAAACATTCTGCACATGCATTTAGTCCTATAATAACCTGCTTTAAAAAAGACTGCAATTCTAATTTTACAAGTGTAAAAGCAGGCTCAAAGATAATAAATAACTTGCCCAAGATCACACAAGTAGAGACCCAAGACTTGATCCCAGGACTCTGAATATAGATCTGATACTGTCATATACCAAAACCAAATTTGAAGTGGAAATAAAGAACCCCACGTCATCTATTCAAGAAAAGTACCCAGAAGTTATAATTCACTAAACATATTTAGAGTATGTTTAGCACCACTAGGTATGAAATGTAGTTCCTAATCATTAAAAATTGATCTGTGCCAGAATGTGTAAGACCTAACGAGACTGAAAGATACAATCAAAGGCCTGCAGTGACGCTTCAAAAAGCTCCAATAACCTGTTCCATTTGAAAGCTGCTTAGTGTTCTACCATATCACTACCAGTGAAACGGAACTCAACACCTACGGAAACTGTTTAGTCCCATTTCTGACAGTTCTAAACATCAAAGTTCTCCTGTTTCTCACCTGAAACCTACTCCATGATTTCACAGAACAAAAAGAGCAAAAGGCGAATTCCTAAATTTCATTCCATGGGGAAAGAGAATACCATTACCTGATTATATAACTCATTTAAGTAGATGGCTTTGGTCATAGCAAGACGAAGAGAATGGAGGAAGAATAACAACAAGGAAAACTAAGAGACTTAGTGTACCTATGTCAGAAATAAACAAGACCAAAATCATAAGCAAAAAGAAGTAGATAAATACCAATTGTGGCCCTACTGTTCCTATTTAACTACTTAATGTCACTTGGTAATCTGCTCCACTTCAAAATAAATTGGGAAAACTTCATAATAAAAAAAAACCTGGAGAAAAGGAGGACGGCTAAAATGCAGTGATATCAGTCAAAATGAAAAGGACAGAATGAATGCAGAATATAGACAGCAGCAAAGGCATGGTATCATCAATGAAAAATGAAGAAATGGCAAAACAAAACCAAGAACAGACCTTGAGGAGCTCTCTCATTGTGTGACAGAAAAAAAAATTATTTATTTAATAAATATTTCATTGGTTACAGAGGTATGATATCAAATATAGAGCAGCGAACAAGACAAGACAGTCTCTGGCCCCATAAAACATGTTTTATAAAAGGCAAGTCAGAAAACATACAATTGTGATGCACACACAAGGGAGAAGTCAAGCTGCTATATCGCTATGAGAGAACTGGAGAAAACCAGCATCACAAAACAAGTTTCAAGGAGAAGAAGGTAGCCAAAAGTTTTAAATGCTACTGAGTACGGAAAGTAACTTTTAAAAAAGCATTTGATTTCTTGATGAGGTTAAAGACATAACCTTCAAAGAGCAGAGTACTTATATACTGGGGTGAGAACTCCCTGCAGGGGCTAAGAGAGTGAGCTGGTAAGAAAGGAGTCTAAGCTTTCAAGAATCTCGGTATAAAGGAGGTGAAATACTTATAAGAAAAGCAAGCACAATGGAATTACTTTTGTGTTTTACTCTTTTGAACACATACGCATATAACTGCAGATGTAGAGGCTGCCAGAGGTAAAGGGATAAGGTAAGTGGCTAGAGTCACTTTCAGAATTACTGTTGACATCTCTACCTACCTATCCCCAATAAACCTACTCAAATACTTAATTTTTACCTTTTGTAAATACTGGCATTTAATTTTTTTTTTTTTTTTTTTTTTGAGACGGAGTCTCCCTCTGTCGCCCAGGCTGGAGTGCAGTGGCCAGATCTCAGCTCACTGCAAGCTCCTCCTCCCGAGTTTACGCCATTCTCCTGCCTCAGCCTCCCAAGTAGCTGGGACTACAGGCGCCCGCCACCTCGCCCAGATAGTTTTTTGTATTTTTTAGTAGAGAAGGGGTTTCACCGTGTTAGCCAGGATGGTCTCGATCTCCTGATCTCATGATCCGCCCGTCTAATATTTTTAAAACTTGTGTTTAATAATTAGTCTCTTCTCTAAAACTAACTTTACATTACTAGCAGTGCTTATTTGTCAACAAAAAGAACAGTATTTTGGCAACATCATGGGCTACATAAGTGGCTGGCCTACGGCATACATGCCATCTTTTAATACTGTTCTTATGAAAAATGCTCCAAAGAACCAATTTAAAACTCAACTTTTCAGAACACACATTAACAATCGGGGCTACTCACAGTTTCAGTAGCATTTACATGAGATTAAAAATCATCAATTCCAATACGACTTTTTAAATATTGAATTACTGTCAATTTCAACTTCAAGTTAAAATATGCCTTTGTCATTCCTTCCACATGCTTCTTCATTTGAAATAGTTCAAAGGACAACGTGCAATTACTCCACGCAACAAAGAGCCTGCTATGGAAACAGCAAAGGTCAGCTGAGCTGAGTGAGGTCTGAGGCCCCCTTTGACAAGGTGCCTTCCTTTTAGTATGAGTGTGAGCACGTCCCAGCAGCTGGGTAGCACATTAACAGAATTTCAGCCCTCTAAGGTATATTATTTTCTGAAGTAGGTGCTGTTTATGCACATACAGAAAACTGAAGATCACTGACTACAAATCCCACATCTGAAAACGCCTTAAAAAGTTATTTCATCCATTCCACTATCTACAGTAGAAACCAAAGTCCAAAAAGGGTGTAGTGACTTGCTCCTGGTCACAACTTCTAGCTCATAATTAAATAAATAATAAAAATTTAATGTTGGTATGACAGCATCACAGCAAGAACTTTATGACTGACATTTCAAATGTACTGCTTTGAGGGGAAATTTCAGTTCAAAGTAAGCTTTGTGTACTGTTAGCATCCACAGAATAAAAACCAAGAACCAGAAATGTTGGTAAGAACTTAGACAAAAGGCATACTTTAAAACACATTTTTCTCCAAAAACACCCATTGTGATATCGGGATATCAACATAGAGTATAAGCAATCTTCTCATTTATAATTTCCCACTCATTTTCTTAAATATTCAAACTAGCACTGATAGTTTTCAACAGAAGATAATCAGCTTTAAATATCTTCCTGAGCTAAAGATAATTATCACTTGCTTAGAGTAAGAAGCCCAAAAACATAGGTATTCGCCATTCCACTGCCAAACTCTTAAATTTCTGGTGTTTCTGCCCTCCCTAACCAACTCGAGTCTGCTCATTTAAAGAGCTACACACGGGTGTATCTCAGGGCTCAGAATCAGTATTTCCTGAAACTGCCTTACTTAACTCCATCTGGGACTTGAGATAAGTCTAGAGCCAAAGCTATTTACTACCAAATGAAAGGAGTGGACCAACAGAAGCTCTTGGTACTGGTATAGGCACTTCTTGGTTAGAAAAACAGCTTTTTAAGTAATTCTACACTTAAAACGTTTGTAGGCAGGCAGGTCTTATTGTCTTGTTTTTCTCTCTAGTAAAATCCAGTACTCAGTCCTCTCAGTTGGCCCTAAATTTTTACAATTCCTGTAATTTCTCTCTCTAAAAAGGGAAAGACTGATTGACATGTATGCTGGATCTCCAACAAAATGTGCATGAACATTCAGTTAAGAGAAGTGTGTTCATTCTAGCAGTGAGCAGAATCCTGTATTTATGTTCTCAAAGTGTGTTTCTTCTTCCCAATAGAGACATTAGAGTCAGCAAAGCAGGCACATAACAGACACTTAATGTTTGTTGAGTGACCAAATTCATGAGTTAAGAGATGGACAATTTATAAATTGAATCAGTCTTGCTAATACTTTTCAAATAGCATGCCTAGCAAAATAAAAACAAACACAAAAATCAAATTAATTCTATTAACAAAGCTTGGACCCAGCCACATTATCACTGGACCCAAAATTCAGGGATAATAAGATTTCATTGTTGTTATCAGCTATACTTTCCAAAGTAATTTCATGGGAATTTTTTTAAGACAATTTTTTTTTAAGCATCAGATCATTAAAAATTATTTACAAATTCTAGTAAGGAAGTCCTCCCCAAGAGTTGGTTGACCCAGGGTTTCAAGTAACTGACAATTCCTTGCTTTCTTTCAGTAACTTAACATACATACTCATCAGCTGGGCATGGTGACTCATGCCTGTAATCCTAGTACTTTGGGATGCTGAGGCGGGTGAATCACCTGAGGTCAGGAGTTCAAGACCAGCCTGGCCAATATGGTGAAACCCCATCTCCACTAAAAATACAGAAATTAGCTGGGCTTGTTGGTGGGCTTCTGTCGTCCCAGCTACTCGGGAGGCTGAGGCAAGGGGATTGCTTGAACCTGGGAGGCGGAGGTTGCAGTGAGCCGAGATCGTGCCACTGCACTCCAGCCTAGGCAACAGAGCAAGATGCCGTCTCAAAACAAACAAACAAAAGTAACATACTCATCAAGCTCTTACAGAAAATGGAAATATACAAAGACTGTATAGATCACAGGCTGGCCATTTAACACAGTTGGGAGGGGTTAACATTTGCTGACACAGTTCACATACCTTTTTAGGATTTTCTCACGCCAAAACGTTGTTAGTCACTTCCAAACAAGAGACCAAGATTTAGAGGAGAAAGCTAGGAAAAAGGGAGGCAGAGGAATAGGGTAAGTCAGTGATCCTACTATAGAGTAAAATGAGCTTGATATCTTAAGGATATACCTACATTTCTCTTCTTGACCTGCAAATTACATCTTCTATAATTCAATGTCTTCCATTTCCAGTTTTCTTAATAAAGTTAAGTGGAACTTAACCTCCTTGAACATACACTACTGTCAGTTTAGTAATTATATAATTTTACACTTAGGGACATCTAGAAGCAATCTCTTGTTAATGATAAGTGTATATAGCACTTTACCACTGTATTGTTTATATATATGCTTTAAAAATATCAAATGGACAATTTGTGAGGAAAAATACAAGGAAAAAGCATAAGCATTTAAAGACTCAAAGCATGGACTCAAATTCTGGTCCTGTCATTTATAAACTATCTTTGTCTCTGAACAATTCATTTCACCTCTCTATGCTTTAGTTTCTTCTTTAATATGTTTGACAGCTCTAGGGTACTTAGCAGCACAAGCTTGTGGATCTTCAACTTGGTGCCGCTGAGACTTCTAACTCACCGTAAAAGTTAACTTTAAAAGTTAACTTTATCATGTCAAGTGTATGCACTTACATATTTTGTAGAATACTGTTTCTTTTTTTTTGGGGGGGGAGGGACAGAGTTTCACTCTGTCGCCCAGGCTGTAGTGAAGTGGTGTACCTCCACCCACATTCAAGCGATTCTCCTTCCTCAGCCTCCCGAGTAGTTGGGTAAATTATAGGCACCTGTCACCATGCCTGGCTATTTTGTATTTTTAGTAGAGACGTGGGTTTCACCATGTTGGTCAGTTTGGTTTCAAATTCCTGACCTCAGGTGATCCACCCACCTCAGTCTCCCAAAGTGCTGGGATTACAGGCATGAGCTACCGTGCCTGGCCAGAGTACTGTTTAATACAGAAATTTATAAAATGGGTAAGAAGTAACTTTTTCTACACATAGACAGTATACAGCAGGAGATAGTGCTCAGACTGGAAGAAAAAAACCTCAGTTTGAATTTTTGCTCAGCTGGATGCTATCATTTCAGTTTTGTAAATCTCTATTTCTAAACTAGTGAGAATCAGAAATATTGAAGTACTCACTTCCCCAGGTTAAGAGTAATAAATGCATATTAGACACTTAATACAGTAGCTAACACACAATAACCATTCTATTCATATTGTTATTAATATTTTAGCCAAAATTATAGGGACCTGACATGGAATCGACTGCAACTAGGGTGAGGCAAACCAGATGCCTAGAACACAAAATTTTGCTCTGATTTGCACGACTTGGAGAGTTACTGCCTCTTCAAAGTTTGTACCCTAGGCACATTTCTTGCCTCACCCTAGTCCTCCCCCTGCATAACATACACAATAAGACTCAAACACTGATATCACAATGTCATAAAGGCCACCTACATAGCATATTTTCAAAATCTTTTTTCTCCCATTTGCCAAAATGGGTGCATAAATAAACTTAGTTTTGGCTTACATAAAATAATTTGGTCATCGGGGCATTTTAAAACTATTTGCCAAGTCAATGTTAAAATTACTTTTTCTAAATGTACATAGGTAAACTTAACAAAGGAAACCATGGTCCAGAAGCAGGTTGGGTAGCAGGCTGGGTTGCAGACTGAAATCAAGATTTGATCAAAGCCCTTGAGATAATTCATAAAAGGTGGTAATCTATACAAGATAATCAAAAGTTGACAACAAAATCAAAGAGCTCATTACCTCTGAATTAGCTGATGGGAAATGGAAACAATAACAAAATAGTAACAACTGGCTCCTTAAGATACTTCAAAGCAACTTGTTCAGGAGGAAAAATATACATCTCTTTAGTTTTGACAATCCTCATTTTTTTTCCCTATGTCTAAATTTTTGGTAAATTCTGATCTGAGTAAAATTTAAATGAAAATACTTGTTGGGAGACAGGAAACAAATTTGTCGCCTTGAATATGTTTATCTTTTGCCCATAAAGTTCTCAATCTAGTGGTTTATGAATGATGCCTAGTTGAATAGTTGTTCGGTGTTTAATTGAGGTGCATGTCTATTTTCCTTTCTGCTAATATTATTCCTTGTCTTAATTTCTCCAATATGATGTTAATTAAAGCTTTCCTTTAAAATCCCTTAGAAATCAAACTAAACTTAAATCCTCAGACTGTTCTTATGCCCTCTCTGCTTAAAGGTACAATTAAAGGAATCTGTACCACCCTGGGTCAGAGCTACTTGCTTTGTATCACTTATAATCTTAGATACCTAGAATTTAACTTAATGACTCCTAATGGCTTAAGATCTTCTAAAACATGCAACAGGTACTTTCATTACCTTTGCACCAAAAACACTGCTACAGGCCACTCAAATGTTGATAAAAAGTATTAACCCCAGACAATAAATAGCCTCTGCCTTATTTAACATTAGATGCTAATGAGGCCAAGATTCTACCTTGATGATGCCATTTAACTTTACCTTTAGCTCCCAATTGATCTCAAATATAAATACTATTGCTTACAAGAAGAAATTAGGGTCAGAATAGTATCTGTTTTTACTGCATTTACAGTTCCTCCTGTAACCTTCACTTTGCAAAAGTGTGATTTATTTTTTAAGGAAGCATACCAAAAATAAGGTAGAACCTTGGAAATCTCTCAAATTTTGACAGTATTGCATAAATACCAATTTTAATATGGATAAAGACAAAGAGAAAGATGTGCATTTCTCAAGTAAAAAAAAAAACCAAAGGATTCCAAACGCTTTGGAATTAAATGCAAAAAAAAAACAAAAACAAAAAACCTTGCAACAATCCAAACTCGTATAGGGAGCAGTTGCTGTCTAGAGGCCAGGTCTGATTCATTTAACATTCCCAACAGGCTTTTGTTGTAGTAACCTTATATAAGTCTGAGGAGGCAGCCAGTGTGTAACATCTTAGGGTTTTGTCATTCCATAACTTCAATCTCAGTTGAATTCCAGTCTATCTTGAAGTAAGAGAGAATGACTGAATAAGACAGGGAGACCCATTTCAGTGCCAGGGACCAGATGGCAGTTAGACACACTATCATTTATTTTTCTATCAGCTGTAATCTAAAATTATAAAATGAACTGATGCACATGGAAGTACTTACTATATTAGAAAGACTAAATGTCCATACAATGGTCTTTCAACCCTTTCCCCTTGTATCTACTAAAGTATAAACTCCCTAAAGAGAAATTGTATCCATTTATCTATTTCCTAGTATCCAACACACTATTCTGCATAGTCTGTCTAAGTCAGCAACAGTGTTAGTTGGAGATATGGTGATGAAAAGCTGAATAGCACATACCCTTGAGGGTATGGAGTTTTGCAGGGAAGACAGACAGTAAAGAAACACAGTGACATGTCATACTGCCACTTGGCATTAACACTCCAGGGAGCATACTCGCTTCACACGATACTCCTACCCTATGCAAGTTCAACAGACATGGTGAACATTTGTTTGAAGAAAACAAACAAAAAATAACTTTATTAAAAATAACTACTGGAGTATATGGTAATTCCATTCCATATGCAAAAGTCCCAGAATGAGAGAGATAAGAAACATGGATCTGCCTCTCCCCCCACCAGACTGAGAGCCACAGTGAGCTCTCACAAAGAGCAGCTTGCCACACTGATTGTGACTCTTGTACTGTAATATATGTATTTCTTTTTTCAATATGGTCTCTGAATAACAAGTCAAACACTTCACCTGGTACTCAAAAGAAATCTACTCCAATGCTAGAAAAAAACTGGCTGTGTTGAAGTTGTGTGCTACAACGTGTACTTCCTAATAGGTTTTTCAAAAGTTTGAATATTAAGTAATTTCTGCCTGCCACGCTGACCTTAGCATTTAAGACATAACTTCTCTGTAACTACAACTCTTAATGCTAATTTCTCTCCAACGCAGTTCAATCACTAACATCATTTTTACTTTAATGATGAAAAACATGGTCTCTTGAGTCAGCCAGCCTGGATTCAAATCCGAATTCCAAGCATTTTTTCCTGCAACCTTAGGCAAGTTCCTTAACCTCTCTGTACTTTAACTTCCTCATTTAAAAATTGGAGGTAATAGTGCCTCTACCTCCAAGGGTTGTTGTAAGGATTATAAGAGATCTTGCAAAATGCTTAGCATGAGACCTGACAGTTACTTACTACTCAATAAAAGCTAGCTATTATACTAGGTTCCAGCTCATTCCAAACAAGGTTTAAGGCAATTTCACAGGTAATATGCATTCAATAAGTAAATGAATCAAAAAGTCATTATTTAGACTAACCTCTGCTAAACTTATTCCCAAGGGACTGGCCTGACTATGTTAGTGACTACCACTTAACATGTTCCACTGCTGTTACCCAACAGTTCATAAGCTTGTTAATAAAATTCTTTTCTTTTTCTTTTAACCCTATAGGCAACCTTGATTCTGTCAACTGTATAAGAACGAAACTGAATAGTGTAAAATCACCTCTGGGTGATTTTAAAAATGGTTATACATAGCCAAAAACGTAAGGGTGAGCTTGAAAAATAAGTGTAATATAATACATTTAAGACACATTTAAATTTTGTAGCTTAAATGACAAAATTGAAATTTCCATCTTCATACAGACAAAAATGAACCACCAAACCACAATGTTTATCTTTCAGCACATAAATTATTTCTACTTGCTATAATAAATGTGCTTTAATTTTTGCATTGTGTTTGTGTGTGTGTGTCCCTAAAGCATAACCCTCTAACACCGCAGCTTACTAAAATATTTCAAATGCAATAACATAAATAACAATGACATTTAACTTCTAAACCACTTTTATAGTTTATATTATGGAAAAAAATTATTTATCGTGCAAGTGGCTTAAAATTCTTAGTAACCCCTACGATAATGACCTTAATTGTCCAACAACATATAAAAAGCAGTACTTCAGCTTCATCCTCCACATACTGGTTATGCTAGGTAAATATGAATATTTCATCCAAGATTCAAGTAACATCAACACTGACTTTCTAAAAAGTTTCGGATTTAGCAAAGACTTGTTTTTAATAATAAAATGGATAGTATTACTAAATTTTAAAGCCAAATATCAGCAATCTCTTTTTGACAATATCTTGTGGAAAAGTAAACTGGCAAATCCATGAAGGCATATAAGGCTATAATAACTCAGGACTATTGACCTTACTCTATGCCATACTGTGGTACAACAAATGACTGCGGAATTTGTTTTCAAGACCAAAACCTAACACGATTTATCACTAAAATTCAGTTTGCATGTTTTAAAAAATGATCTTTTTATGCTTAAGTCTCCAGGTTTAAAGCAAATAAGATTCACTTAAGTATTAGAAAAATTTTTAGGAATCCCAAAATATAAGTTCCTTTGAAACAAAAACTACTCAATTTTACAAAGCCACCTTGTCTAAATTAAGTGATATTAAAGGTATAATTCATAGGAAGATAGCAAAGTTAAAAAGCAAGAAACAAAACAAAAAAGCAAAGAAAAAGGAAGAATTATGGATTTTAGAATATGGAGACAGATCTGGATTCTAACCATGGTTCCAGTACCTACATTTTGGAAACTCTAGCAATTTAAACTTTTTTTAGTTTAATAAGTAAATTTACTTATTTTCTTGATGTCTTCAGCTATAAAACAGCGTTAATAATACTACCTAGAGGAAATAAAGGTTTTTAGGGCAAAATGAGGTAACATTAGGGAAGAAGAGTCCATTAGAAGTTTCTTCCATGTCTGTATTTTGTCATAATGAACATCGCTTGCAAAAAGCAGGACAGTGATCTCTAAAATGCTGCGTTACACAGCAATTTTGCTGTAAATGAAAGTGATTCCTTTGTCATTTCCATCTAGAAAATTAAACCTGATTTCAGAGACCTCCAAAAAGAACAAACATTTTTCTACAATTTATATTAAAATTCTGTCAATGACTCCTTTGCATATAACCTAAATTGCCTAAGCATTACGGCTCATTTGAAAGTTCTTATATACTTCAATCCAGAAAGCATATCTGCTTTATTCATTTCTCTATTTCTGTCCCCAGAGAAGTACCGGAAGCATTGTGCATGAATACACTCCTTCATTCATTCAGCAAATATTTACTGAACCCTTATATTGTGCCAGGTACTACGTAAGTAGTGGGGTAGGGTAACACATGACAAATGAGAGGGCCCTGCTCAGGAAGCTCATAGTCCAGTGAGGAGACAATATTTGTCAAATAAATACAGAAATAATTAAGTTTCTATTATCATAATGCCACAAAGGAGTACAGAGTATGGTGAATACATGGCAGGAACCTATTCTGGTTTTGGGAAGGAGGGCAAGGCTCCCCCGAGAAAGAATATTTAAATTGAGATATGAAAACTGACTATCAGGTAGCCACATTTAGGTAGGCCAAGGAGTGAGATGGAATATGCAATGGCCACCAAGTCAGGAAGGAGCTTATGTATGTAGTAACCAAAAGGCATGGTAAATGAGAAAGGCTGGGGATAAGGACGGAGAGTTGGATAGGAGAAGAGATAAATTTTTAGTGTTAAACAGAGTAAGAAAGTAAGAGTATTTGAATATTTAAGTCACATTGTCTTTTTCTCATGTAAATCTAAGGGAACTAAGTCTTTACTCCACAATATTAAAGATCTGTAGTCAGAAGATCTCGATTTTTATCTTACTCCCACCAGTTACAAGTCACTTAACCAACCTGAGCTTCTTCATTCTCTTCGTAAATATTACCTTACCTACTGAGACTACAATAATAAACAGCCCCTATTCTTACAGACCTTACATCCTTAAGAGAAAGAGACAGATGTATAATATATGGAAGACATCCCAAGTCCTATAAGAAATTACATCCAAAAGCTGATATAAGGCTCCTGCAAAGCCCAGCATGAGAATAAATGAAGACACTGGTGAGCTGCAAACTACATGTATACACATAACTCCGTGAACTCTTAACTATCCAACGTGCAGAGATCTAAAGTGACAACAATACTGCAGCATGTGATTGAAAGATGATTAAAAACAATACAAACATTAATCCACCATCCCAATAGAAGAAATATCAAAACTATAATTGGCCTCAGACATAGAGTAGTGGCAGAAATGAACCAAGAACAAAATCTAAAATACACTGAACAAATGCATTATATTATTTCCAAAATTTCCTCATAGTTCAAAACCTCTTTCCATAATGACAGAGTTATGTGCCAAAGGTTAGAATTTATTTCACACCTCCTTCAACAAAAGGCAAATACTTACATTGTCATCTAGAAAATACATTAATATTCTTCCTTTACCATCACTGACTCATGTTCAGTTTATGGTCTATTTACACCACCGCACCCTTCTTAATCCAGCACAAAGTCAGTTATCCTCACATAATTTTCCATTTGTTTAACTGGGTCTTCCTTGTCTGTGTACTACATTACTCATGGTACATTATTCCTGATTTTACTTCATTCTATAGTAGCATACTTTTTCTATTTTAAAAATCGTATTAATTTCCAGACCATCTTAATTTCAACCATCAGGTAAGAGAATACCTCTACTCCAAAAAAAAATTTTTGCATTAAAAAGTTACTATATTGTTGATAATATAGTAACTGCAGAGTACATTCAAAATTCAGCATAGTCTGATGATCAACTTATACACAATACAGTAAGCTATGATTTATTACATGTTAAGAGTAAGCCATGATTTATTACATGCTAACCTTTATGGATATAAAGTTATCACAAAGAAATTCTGGCATCAATGAACATACTCTTACAATTCTATTAAAAACCTATCCAATAATAATAGTCATGAGCTATAACTGGTCATAATAGAGGATAAAATTTGCATAAGGGCACTATTTTCTGCAAGAGATAAAATGTAAGTGTACTGTTTTTTCATTCTTTAATGTAAAGTAAGAATGAATTGAAAGTCACAGATGATTCTAAGAAAAATAAAAATATGTAACAGCCTAATTCTATTATTTGCAGACACACACACAAATACAGCCTAAAGTCAAGAAAATGGGGGAGAAGTAAAATCTCAAACAAAAAAGACGATGTTACCTCCAAGAAATGCAAAGTACTTTCTTTTCTAGTAACGGGCACACTAAACTCTCCTAACATTATTTGAAAAAAGTTTAAAGTTTTGTGAAAGAATTCCAATCCAACTAGTATCAGTTTTACAAAATGAGAGTAAAAACAGTCCTAAAGTAGAAAAAGAAAAGAATGTTCTTCTAAGGATGGATATTAACTGTTGTTCTCCCATCCTATTACCTACCCTTAAAAATGAACTGTGAGAGTAGAGTCTATCATTTAATACATCCCTAAAAAAGAGGGGGAAATCTGTAAAAGTTAACACTGATCCTTTTTTTCCCAAAAGGTTCTTTCCTTTATTGAGGAATTTCACTCCAGTTCAAGAAACAACTTTTCATCTCACAATGGCTTCTTAGATGTACTACATAAAATACATTTACTTTGCAACTTCCTCCACTCTTTTCAAAAAGCACAACCAACGTCCCTACTCCAGAAGCTGAACTCGAACAGGACTAGATTCAGAAAGTCTGTCCCTACGTGTGTGACCTTGGGCACGTCATATAATCCCTCGGTTTCCTCATCAGCATCCCAAAATGAAAGCGCTCTGAAAGCAGTAAAGGAGTAAAAACATACTTGGGTATGACACCTACGAGGGTCAAGCCTTTCTGTTTAAGGCAAAATTACCTCCTTAGAGAGCCACATCATTAAACTGGAACTGAATCCGTAGACCTCAACATTTGTCTCTTCCTTCTTCCAGTGCTCCCCTTCCCTCAAAGGGCATAACCCGAGTCACCCCCGACAGCAGACTGCCCAGCACCCTTTCCTTCCTCCTCCCTTTCTCTTATTTACAAAGCAGGGGGAAAAGAGCAGCCTCACCTCTCCGTGCGAAGCCACACCTTCAAAGGACCCCACCCCAGGAACATCCGCCCTCTCCCCTCTCCCGGGGCACCAGGGGCCAACCTCGCCCTTCCCCTCCCGCCCCCACCTAGAGGAGACTTCCTGGAGGCGTTCGGGCCCAAGCCGGCAGGCGGCATTTACAAACCCGCTTTACGCCACTCGCGTAGGGTAACCTCGCTTACGCCCGTAGGGCCCCGCTCTCAGCCCCGTCCGCTCCGCCTGCCAGAATCAAGCCCGAGTGCCTCAGCCATGGCCCCTGCGTGACCCTAGACCTCTTCTGCTCGGTGCAGAGCTATGGGGACTGGGACAGAACAGCTACACCTTACCAGCAACTGAGGCACTGACTTCACTTCCCACCTTTGCAGCCCTCTTCAACTCCCGGATCAATTCACTCCGGCGACGCCGGAAGGACCCGAGAGGAACCAGGCGTTGTCCGGAATCCTGCCCAGCCGGAGTCGCGCAGAGGCCTATGGGGACTCGTAGTCCCGCTCGCCAACGTTGTCCGGAATTCCTGCACTCGGAAGACTACACTTCCCGGCAGGCCGTGCGGGAGATCCTGAGGCGATGGGTGGGGACACTTCTAGCCAATACTAGGAGAGTTCCCTGCCTTTGCGGGAGGAGGTGAGATGAAGAGAGATGGTGCACGGAAGGGAGAGGAAGGGCGGGGCAAGCCCTCACCTGCGCCAATCAGGGTGCCGGGTAGGCCCCGCAGGCGCCTCACCCATTGAGGGGGCGGGCTGACAGAGCAGAGGAAGGAAGGGGGTGAGGGGCCCGTGGTGGGGATCGTGGGGTTGTCGGGCTGAGTATGCCGTACGGGTGGAGAGGAAGCCTCGGGGAAATCACCCGGGTGAAGGGAGGGCTTGGTGTGGGGACTTGCACAGGGCGGAGGAGCAGCTAAGCCCCGGGCACATCGGGCAACCAGACCCACGCGTCGGGGAGAGATAGGCTGAGCCGGGGCTCCCAGCAGAGACGCCTGGGTGGGGCAGGAGACCGCTCCAGGTGTGAGCCACAGAGGAGGGGAGAGGGACCCCCAGGGGAGGGGAAGTGGCAGAGCAGCTGCAGAAGTGCGGGGAGCGGGAAGGTACACGGGCAGCTGCTTTCCGCTGCCTCCGGCCCGGGCAGCTGCAAAAACAGCAGGGGGAGGAGCAACAGCTGCCAAATTCGCCAACTAGAGGAGGGAGAGGCGGAGCTTGGGTCCCTGTAGAAGCCAGAGGCGCAGTCTGGACTGTAGTTTCCCGGGAGAGACGAAAGCAGGAACGAGAGCGGAGCGGAGCACAGTCCTCCGAGCACCAGCTCCAGCATCCCGTCAGGGGTTGCAGGTGTGTGGGAGGTAAGCGTGGGTCCTTCTTCGGGGCGTCTGCACTGCCCTGGAGAAAACGTGTTCCAATAGGAATTACATCAAGATACAGCTAAAAGAGTCCGCCTTGGGTTAGGAAACCGGTGTAAACCCTCTCGGGTGAAAGATTTACATTTTTGGACTGTAAGGGCAAAAAAGCAAAAAGAAGCTTGACTCTGGGTATAAAGGGCGTGGTTAGTGTTTTTGGTTTGAGTTACACCAGTAAAACTGTTCTGGGGGGATCTCAAGATTGAGAAAAACCCTGCTAATTGAGGACGAGGTGGATGTTATCTGGTGGATGTTATAGGTGCGTAGCGTATGAAAAGCAAAAATTTTGCTATTGATATAGAATGACTTCTGAACTATTTCACTAGGAAGATAACTTTGCGTTCTTCTTCAGTGTCTACCTTTATGTTGGTTTATCAGATTGTTCTGCTACCGACCTGTTATCCAGGGTGGTTATTCTGCAGTTTCATAGAATTGCAAGAAATCCGTATTAAAGAAGCAAATGCAGGCAGGAATAGTCAGGATAGGATGGGCTCTGACTTAATCTATCAAAAGTATAACTTTTGCCAGCAATAATGTAAAAATGAATTTTAATGAATGGATAGTTAGCTTTCTTTCCAGTGGCTCTGGAATATTGGAACAAAGACCTGGATTCAGCCTACAGTGGGAACATATGGTGTACCTCACTGCTGCTCCTTATTCTCTCATTTGTGTCCGATAATATGTGTACATTTTAAAATCAAGAGTACATGGAAAGCTGTGTGGGAATCTTTTCTCTGGGTAGAAAGTATGTGCTGAAGGACTATCCTTAATATGTGTTATGATGGTGGGTTCAGATTTAAAACACATGTAGTGTCACAAAATAATAGTTTATTCTCGGTATTAAACCATATGTGTATTCAAAGCAACGTAATTGTAATACCTATGGATGGAAATATGTTGTAATGCTGGGTAAAGATGAAAGTCTCACCTACCTTTGTGTAATTATGACAAAATTACAGCCTTTTATTTTTAGAGAAGTAGTAAGAAGCTATTTTCCTAGTTCATTTTCATTTTGTTACAGAGGTTCCCAGATTACATGGCTTTTAATCATAGTAGCATATTGCAGCAAATTTTGCTCTGAAATGCTTTCATTGTGACAGTTGTATATTTCAGAGTCTGTCTCAATACTTTAATCTATGTTTTTTTAATAACCAGGGTCAATAAAATGGAGTAATTGCCTTGTTTTCTCCTATTTCTGTGCTCTCCTGAGTTCTCGGGATTTTACATTTTATTTTTGTAATGCATGCCAGATTTCTCTTTGAAAAGAAATGGCTCAAATGAATTCTATTCCCAGCTTAAAGTTCAGTCCTACTGCGTGCTACTACCGGTAAGCCTAAGTGACTTATCAGTGTATATACTCTTCCCTCCCACACTCTCACATACCATAGAAATATATAGACAGATAGCTCTTAGAAAAACAGCTGCTTTTTGATTATCCCTAAGCAGATCAGCTAAGTATCAAAAACAGCAAAGAGCTTAGAAGAAAGAAAAAGCAACAGTAGCTGCTAAACTTAAGCACTGTAAGGATCAGATTTTATCTTTGCTACAGCACTGGAGAATCTATTAATTCACATAGCTGATATGGCCCTGTGAAAATGATGTTGGGGTTAAAAAAAAAAAAAAGTGGGTATTAGGGTGACACTTGGAAAAGATTGTTTGCCCTTGTTATTTGTGATTAAGTGAATTGTCTTGAATCAGTCTTAGATCCTTTCTCAGACTCTACTACTAATTCGTTTTGTGAAACTGAATAATTGCTGTCTCTGGGTTATTTCCCCCATGTAATAATTATAATACTAGCAATGAAATTCTTTCCGAGCCTTTATTAAAATATCTGTTTGAAAGAGTTTTATTGGGAAACAGTTAATAAGCAAGCAAATGGATAGAAGATAAATATCTAAACAGTTGAAATTAAGATGTACTTTGAATCTCAGCTTTTGATAGGTCTTCTGCTCTGAGGCATGGTAAAGGCTAGAATCTCATTAGGAATGAATGAGTTTGTGGTATTAAAGTACTGATTTTTTTCACCTATTTCCAAGATTTGGATCGTTTTTACTGTGTCAGTAAAAGAGATTGGGTTTCAATATCATTTGAAAAAAGACCATATTTTTACATGAGAGAATATCATTGGCGGTATATGGCATTTATTTTTTACTTTGAACTCTTGATTCATGTTAGTTAATATTCACATTCAATCTCAGGTAATCTGAAGATTTTTCTTGATTGGTGTTGAAAACGTTCGTTTTATGGCAGTTTATAATTCTGTGTAAAATGCTACCTATGTTATAAGCATATTACTTATTCTGCTCTCTAATTTTACTATTGGTATATGGCTATATCAGTGAATATATATGATGAGAAAGGAAAAGCAACAGAGTGCAGAATGTCTCTCTTGAATGGAAATTGCTCAGGGGATGATTGTTCTTTAGCCAAAAACCTTGGTTAATTTCCAATTACCATATCCTTTGGTCCTTTCTTTAGAATTCTGATTCTAAGCCTTTTGAGTAAAAATAAGTTAGTATGGATTTCTCTTTAACAGGAGGATTCACTGATGCATGCAGCACAAAAGAGCAAGACTTAAAGGTCCAAGATCAAATGGTTTTGGTAAAGAAGGAGACAGGGGAATAGATATAAAGAAAACACTTGAGAAACACACCTTTAGCAAAAGAGAAAAAAAATTTCTATTTTTTGTTAAGTTCCCATAATCCATGATTCCATGGCCTTTTCTCCCCCAGTCATTCATTAATTTGTACAGGCCTGTATTCATACTGGAATACATTACTTTTCTAAGTAAAATTGAATATTCAAAATCTAATGAATACCAGTCTGATTCCAGTTAAAATGGCAGTTTTTACTGGAATACATTTTGGATGATTAACCTTCCTTTTTTATGCTTTTATAACCCATGAATATTCAAAATCTAATGAATACCAGTCTGATTCCAGTCAATGGCCATTTTAACTGGAATCAAACTGGTATTCATTAGATTTTGAATATTCATGGGTTATTAAAGCATAAAAATCCTCCCTGTGTACACTCACTTCTAAGTGAAACATTATTTGGACAAAATATCAAGAAGTAAATACCTAAAATGATGTTTTGCCCCTTTAAAATAATAAAGGTACTTGAACCAGACACTAAGATGAGCAAGATACCATTTATTTAATTAAGCAAATTCCAAAGGTTAAACACTGCTTTTGGGATCAGAATTAACATACACAAATAAGGGAGAGTTTTTTTGTTGTTTCTTTTTTTTTTTTTTAAATCTTCTAAGAATTTAGTCTTTAAAATTTGGAAACTGTGTTTTAAGTAACTACATTATTAACTCTTAGAGACCATGTACTTCTTTTCTATCTCCTTTTAGTCCTGAGCACCTTATGTCATATTCAGCGTAAAGAAACTGAGTAACCAATTACTGAATTAGAATCA